GAAATGACGGACGGACGAAATGACGGACGGACGAAATGACGGACGGACGAAATGACGGACGGATGAAATGACGGACGGACGAAATGACGGACGGACGGACGAAATGCGGACGGACGTTTTGCTAGCAATTTTTCGCTATCAAGAACCTACAATACATGGACTACGGCTGCCTCACGTGTTAGAGGTTTTTTCTAAATTTAGCAACAAGTATTTTCCAATTTTTCGTTTCCAGAGCCCGGCAATAAGAGATTTTCTGACAGAAATTCGCCGTTTTTTGCGCAATATTACATAACTTTCTCTCTATTCCCTAGCGTGAAAGCAAAAATCAGGAATTTCAACGAAAATACGACATGCGTCTTTCTTTTGTGTTCTCTTCGCTTTACTGCTTACGGCGCTTTACTGCTTATGCGGGAAAATAAAAATTGGCGCAGGTCTCATTTTTGGTGAACTCACTGTGTTATCGAAATATTACATCAGGGAGTGAAGGAGTAGCCCAGGAGGCTGGCTACCTGATGACCAGCCGATATTAATACCGATATTTATTTTTTAAATATTTCAACATTTGCTGAAATAATACCTTTTAATCAGTCTTATACTAAAACATTACCATATTAACAAATAAAATTAAAAGCATTATTAATTAAAGAAGTTATATTTTATAAATTGTTATAATAAATGAAAATATTTTTCATTCATGATATATTGATTGAATCTTGGGGGAGGAGCTTGTCGCAAACGTTACGTAAATAGTAGAGGAGTGTTCATGGGTGCGTTACAGGTCACACTGGGGAGAGGGGCTATTCAAAATATTCCAAATTTGCGTTATGTAACTTATGGACGGTCCCTAAAGGGAGAAGAGGGGAATGAATTAGGAAGAATACGTCGCACAAGGGTCGTGGCCTGTTTGTGAAGGAACTGCTTTGGCGTCTGTCTGGTTTTGGTAGGAAAAATACCGATCAGAGCAGCCGACCTTTGGAATCCCTCTCCAAGCAGTGGGTCAATTAGACATAGCTACTGTCACACCCAAACTATTCGGATACTCGAGATTCTTCAGAATTTACAACGAATTTAAAAAAACTAACATTTCTTCAAATCAATCTTGTTACTTTGAAAAGACAGTATCAGAATAACGTAAGCACAAGTATTCTTGTTCATACAAACATTTTGAACATGTAAATTAGCACCTTAATTCATTAGGAACTAAAAATGTTCACCTTAGAACTAATCAGACATTTCGATTATTTAGAACAAAATATACAAATGCATTAATTAACATTCAATACTTTGTGGTCAGTCCTTTACTTTGGACTTTACATTTCTTCCCTATATTTAGGGAGGAAAATTATTGGAATCAACTCACTGTGATCTCGAATTTTTGGTCGAAAAATCAGTGTTTAAAATTATTTTGAGATGTAACTCACGTCAAGATAAAGCCCTCTTGGCGCTTTTTCAAATATCCTTAATATTCGTGAGGTGGGGAGGAAATACACGCAACTTTCTACCCGAAAATCTGGATGTCTGGATGTCTGAATGGATGGATCACGTATAACTCTATCAGATTATAAGCTTTGAAGTTGAAACTTGGTAAATACATCAGGAGGAAGGTCTAATTGTACGGTTCCGGAGATTATCAAGATATATTAATTAGGAGGAGGCTTATGTTATGAAGCTTCTTTGACATTTTCAAAATTATCGAGAAAAATTCTGAACATTTTTTCTTGAAATGTTTGGCATAAATGGAAGAAAGTGCATCGATAAGTATGGTATAATTCTAACTTTCATCAACACACCTGGCATTTAGAAAATTGTAAAAGTCTTTATATTTAAAACACTAAGGGTTTTCTTTGAGAAAGATGTTTGAGTTTTGTACTCAACCAAATTTCGTGTTTTATGTTCTAATGAAAGTTCATGGGCTCCAGGCGTCTATTCACTTGCTATTATTAACAGGTTTTGTAGTATAAACACAAAATTATGACAAAATCGTAAAATTAATGGAATGAACGCTTAATCGATACAGAATGTCCCCAGTAAAACATGTTCTGCTGCAAAACGATTTCCATAGAATTAGACTATACCGAGCATCAAAAAGAAAATTAAAATTAATTTTAACAATGATATCTGATGCATTATTTATCATTTGTACTACATAATTCTAAACAACCAGTAACAAGTATTATACCCCAGTTTCTGGGTAAGTGGCTCCCATCTTTCTCGGTTTTTCGTCCAGTTTCCCTGATCCCTTGAGCAAATTATGAGATGGCTCCTGATTTTGCTCCAGGACATAAATGTAACTTCATTATCTGCGCACGTCTTCTAGAGGTCAGTGGGAAATATATAGTCCTTCACGATAGACATGTTGAAGGATAAAACCCAAAATCTGTAGTTGATTTGCCTTTAAAAATAGATTTTATTACATCGGGACGAATATTTTGTAAACACTTCTTTACAAAACTCTCATTTCTTTTTGTATTCAGAATTCACCTTGTATACGGTTTAGGGTAGGGATCCAAGATTTAAGAAAACGTGCACAGAATACACTTCTTCCTGCCGCACGTCACAAACAATGTTTAACTGTTTTGACGATAAATAAATAAATAAATAAATAAATAAATAAATAAATAAATAAATAAATAAATAAATAAACAAACATTCATAATAGTCTTCGAGACTAATATTGAAGGACATGAAACAATGTTTTCTATTTTCCGTATAGTGAATATGTAGAACTTTCTGAACTTTTCTACAGCGATATTCCATGCATCTATACTTTTTGGCATGTGTATTTGATGCTCCAATTTTTAAGTTTTATATCAACTTTCCAAGCCATTTTTCAACCATATTGATTCTTGTGGCTTGGATGTTTTCCGCACAACTTCAATTGTAGATTTTTAAATATGTCATGCACTTTATAATCTAAGTTATTGTATAGTAGTAATACTAAGAGGAGGAAAACTTTCGGTATGCCGCGCCACTTTTCCACTAGTTTAAGAGTGGTATGGAAATTCTGTTTAACCTTTGTCAACTCAATGAATATCAGTTCACTCAAACCATTTGCTGGAACGCAGTTCCACAACATGCCTGCCACCGTACCTTACAGTAGATTGCGCTGTTTTTAACTCCCCGTTTTGTTCGTACTAGACTCTTTGTCGCCCATCTGACCAAAACATGTTGAATTTAGATTCATCCACAAAAATTACGAAGAGAATTTAGTAGAGAGCTTCACCCTCTCAACAGTGAAGTTCGATTTCATCTTCTTTGTGTTTTAGCGTATACATTTCTTCATCATTAACATTTGAGATTTTTTCGTCATTTCTTACCTTTCACATGGAGACAAACGATTAACTGCCGTTTGAGATTAGGTTACTATATCTACTGCGATTTTCCATTCACAGTGGTTTCCGCGATCTAAATCTTTTCGGTGACGAGAACTGACTGCCGCTGTCTCACGAGTGACAGCACTGCCATTCAACGTTCCTTGGTTTCAACGGTTTCTTTTTATACTTAAAGGACCGAGTTTTTATTTCAGTCGTTTCTGTCCGAATAGTTCTGAGGCATATTTATTTTGTAAAGGGTTGAAAAGTTTGCTTCTATTTGTAGCAATGTGTATTTTTTCAACTAGTTCTCTCTATTTTCGCAAGTTACCCCAATTTATCAATTAAAACACGATCATGCATAGAATTTGAAATATTACCTGTTCGAGGACTACTTTTAGGACTAGCTTTCTGAGGACTCTTTGGAAGATCCTCATCCTTTGACCGAGGTATTACAGGCTCCAATTTCTCCCGAGTCGGAGAGGGTAGTAGAGCACCATCAGCTGTAAGCACAAAATGCCAAATATCTGCAAACTACGGAAAAGTAGAATGCAAAATTATTGTTTAATGAATTTTGTTTTATCTTTCTGGATAATTTCTATCGCAAAACTTTATACTAGTGAAATTCCTAACGGAGGACAATTATTTAATCAATGAAACCTTGTATCTAAATGAAAATAAATGATACTTGATCAAATCGTGAAATGTGTATTTTTTTTAATTTCTAATTTTGGAATGTACTTGCAAAGAGGATTTATGAAATAATCTTTCACTGCAAAAAGAAAACTCCTCATATATTCAAGAATAGTATTTACAAAATATACTTGTATTACTTTGTGAAATTTCAAGAATAAAGTCACTTAAAACTAAACAACAATTACTATTACTGCTACTACTTAAAATTTAAGACGTACAGTTCCACTAATTCAAATATCAAAGAATGCCCAAACATCTCGCAAAGTAAACAATTAAATGGAAATTTGACCCTATAAGATCAATATTTTTACGGAGGGAATGAAACTATACTACAACTAAGCTTCCTCCTTCCCCCTTGTTGGTGGACCAGAAGCAACTTTAAAAATTCAAATAGAACCCCGAATTTGTTACGCTGTATTTGTTTTCTATTTCATCACAAACTTTTTAAATCCTTTTAGGTGGCATAGATGCCGATTATGCTGCAGCTCAGAAACAGCAAACGAGGGGTCCCAAAATTTTCTTTATAATTTAACAAGCAAAAACTATAAAAAATAAATGTAGTAAAAAAAGTTTATTTTTAATGTTAACATTTTTCTTTTAATTCTCATACTATATATTAAATTAAACACTTATAAGTTTAAATACTTATCTTATTTTTTTCCTTTCTCGGCTAAATTTGTTGGTAAATAGAGCTCACAATCCCCAGAGTTTTTTGGGGAATAGGTTGAGTCGCAGAAAAAGAAGTTCATCTCATATCTGGACTTTCAACATAAATTTTCTTACAATATGGGCTGTTTGCACCGGATCTGCACGTTATGTTTTTTGGTAGTTGAAATTATGTAAAGTGTTTTAGGGGGATTTTTTGACTAGGGTTTCCTCCGATGTAATGAGTGAATATGTTTTGTAGTATTTAATTTCAAAATATATCTAATTTCATAAGATAAGTTTCCACATTTCGAATATTTTTCTATTTCTTTCTGTTTGATATTGTGGGATAATGGTACTGTTATGATTATTATTACTCCTTCTTTTGATTTTTTTCTTTCTTGCCTTACTACATGCAGTAAAGAAAAGCATTGTCAAGCGGTGGCAAAAATCGGTGATCTTTCGATAGAAAAACCCTTATTGTCGGGACCAGGTAACGAAAAAGGTGAATAAATCCTATTCCTACAAGTAGTAAATTATTTCCACTCACACGTTGTGTACACAGCAACCAAGGTTTGTGGGTCCTTGATACCGAAAAATTGATTGATAGACGTCTATCTGTCTCCATCGGTCTGAAGTTAACGCTAGCGCCTAAATTGCTCAGATGATTTTCTAAAATATTGGTAGTCTCCAATCGATCTGAAGGGACTCTAGGACATGCGAGTTTGAAACGGAATTTCGATTTTGGGAGTTCTTTACATTAAACATCAATGACATTTTCAACATTTTCTTAAAAATGGCTCCAAAGGATATAGCCAAATAAGGGAGTGAAAAGTGCTCCAAACCAAATCAATAATTGCAATACTCATGTGAAAGAGAATAAAAATGCCATAGATTCCAGATCAAATCAGCATACTAGGGCAATATGTTGCAGATATACGACAAACGAGACGTAGGAAAATAGTTGGATTTGAAAGTATTTTTGACAGCAAATTTTGAGGATAGTTCATTAGGATGACTACCTTGTAACTCTCGACACCACAGTTGCATCAGGCTTTCATTGCTTGTGTAGTCTGGTTCAAACTGAGCATTCGCAAGGTTTAAGGGGGGTCAATTATTAAGCCCATTTAGTAGATGATCACAGGAATAGTGTAAGTATTTATTGCAGTGGCAATACTTCGCGAATTCAAAGATGTTTTACGAACATTTTTTAGTCAGCTCTTGAATTCTGCGATTATACTTTTTTTCACTTACGAGTGGGGCTACTGGTCGAGATTGCTCTCTACCAATATATTTATACACTTCATCATATTCTTATGATTTATTAATTCTCGTATTCTAGTGCTCCTCGTCAATTTGTCACGTACCACGTTAACCGTTCTACACTTATCTTTCCCAAAACCAGAGGTGTGTCTAGTAACCCATGGCCAACATTCAGGCGCCCATGGCAAGTGTAAAATATGTGCCTCTGTCATGATACTTCAAATTAGGATTGTTGTTATTTGTTTTAGCGGGTATACTCTAAAATAAAGCCCCTTGTGAGGGGCACCCATGACAAGTACCATTACTTCCATACCATAAGTACGCATCTGACCAAAACCCATTCCGATGTCTTCAGAGAAAGTGGTATTGAAGAGCTGCTTAAACGAACTGTTTGTTGATGCGTACAGTTTTATATGCCAGATGGGAAAGTCTGTATGAGGACTTCTGACTATGTCACAGCCGTATTTACTACTGTTGAATATGATGGACGGCGGGTTCAGAGAAAACCAAAATCAAAGTGGGCTCAAAGAATCTCCTTGGAAGATACCACGGTAAATGTTAATTGTAATTGTGATAATACTCACTTCCTTGGTATTTTATAGTATTTCTGCCTTCCACATTGTTGTTAGGGTTGAAAAAGGTCTATCAAAGGACTTTGTATCTTTATTACTATTACTATTACTATTATTATTATTATTATTATTATTATTATTATTACTATTATTATTATTACTATTATTATTATTACTATTATTATTATTACTATTATTATTATTTCATTATTCATGGATCAACTCTGATTCTGTGTTTATGAAAATTAGCAACGGCAACAATGGTTTGCACAAACAAATTTAGGGAATATGATTGTTTTTCATTTCCGATGAATTCAGGCTTATGAACTTACAGCCTACATTTTGTTCTCAATAATCCAGCTTTCTGAAATGTCCGCAAATCTTTCTCAGTTTTAGTTTCCCTCTCACCTCATGCCATTTCCTGATGACTAATCCATTTGCAAATAATGTTACTGGAATCGCTTCAACTGTATGCGATCCATGTCATTCAGTTCAATGACCAGTAGTTAAAATTGTTTCTTCTTCTGACCGCCAGTTGTAACAAACCTCTTATCTGTAGGGTCCGCAGCATGATTGAGGTACGTTGTCTTAGATATTTTATCAGATAGAACCATAGCACTGATTGGTCAGTGATTACACTATCCCACAGTTACTATATCACACCGAAACACCGCTCGATCTATGAAGATTGCTTACTATCGTCTGTAGGACTACATAGTACTTATAATATGTTTGCTCTCTCCCTACGAGATCGTACTATTTTTCCATATCAAATGCAGTGTTGTACGATGTTTGTATGATGGACTTCTTACATTGCTGCGTTCGTTTTCTATTCAATCCTGAATTTGGGATGGGCGTAATGTCCGATGCAAAGTAATGTTGTTTCCCGCGATTCTCTGAAATTTCACAATTTGGAGAATCCCGTTCCTGGGGGGGGGGGGTTACCTCGCTTAATACAGTACACAATATTACTGTACCTCCGATGAGTAACTGTACCTCCGATGAGTAATTTATGATTTGATCACATGACTGGTGTATTTCAGGATCTTCTCCATTTAATACCAATTCATGTGTTAGTATAACAGGAGAAATGGATCTTAGGTATGTGACCTGTGAAGGAAGGAAGGAAGTCTTTCTCCCCAAATTTGAATTTGTCAATGGGTACAATAACACAGACCTGAAAGCTTTCACAGACTTCTCAGTCGTACAATTCTTCACGTACGATTTACCAAACAGTTTCGGTTCCTGGAATTCGGCGATGACCCTTCCTGGATAAATTTCAACATGCGCTACAATTCTCAACAAGTGGGGCGAAAGTCTGCACCAGGAATTTTGCCCCGACATGAACCCGGACCGTTGCCCCAACCGTTAAAATTATAAGCTTTAATTTGTGCTGTCTTCTGTCGGGGATCAACGAAAGTATTTACTAGTGCATTGTGTAGGTCACATTTCACACATCCATACTCTTTAATTGTGGATTTTAATTACTGCACAATTAACAGCGTAAACATATTTCCAATATCTTGCAAAATAACACCAAATAAGTTCAAATTATATGTCACTTCATTGTCACAGCAGTATTGGCACAGGAACTACCAAACTCTCTTCACAGAATATCAGCCATGATACCTTCCAATTTATATTGCAGAAATGTCAATTTCACTACGGAAATTACGTTAATCGGACTCGGAGCCCATGCAAACTTTTCCCCCTGCTTCTCTACAGAGAACGTTTTTATAATCCTTAATACCGAAAAATTGGCTGATGCCAAAAGGTCTGTGTCAGTCCATCTGTCAACACTAGCATCTAATCTCTTCAGACAATTTTCTCCAAAATTAATCTAAACAAACTCAAGGGCTTGCGAGTTTGAAATGAATATTTTGATTTTGGAAAGTACTTTACAAGAACCTAATCATTTTCAAAATTTTCTTAAAAATGTCTATAATTTTTTTTTTATTTGACTCAGAACTTGAATAGCGCAAAAGGTGCTAAAAAAATATCGCTGACTTCATTTTAATTAAACACTCAGAATTTTTGAAAGTTGCAATGTTGAATTTTTTAAAATTTCTTCGTACAACTACTATATTGAAAATTTCTTTCTGTATTATAAAGATCTGCTCTTCGAAGACAGATCTTTAAATAAGATATCATACAATATTTTGAAATGAAAATTACCATCTGAAATGACTCATCCTGAATACAGAGGGGAAGGGAGTTCAAATAGATTTTATTTTCTGGAGAAAGCACACTGTTTATGGAATATTCTCAAGACTCTTTTCTATAATTCTTTGAAAATGTTACAATGCACACGGTGCTTGCTTTTAGTAAGGGCCAAGCATATTCACCAAAAAGATATAGGCTACACAATGAAGCCAAGCCAGATACTTCACTGAAAACATGCACCTTGAGGTAAAGGGACACCAATTGAGGTGAGAGTGGTTTAATTTACCTTTGGATAGCCTACTTTTCTTGAAAATATTGGAATATCTTCATTAAACATTCATTCAAACACTCATTTTATGAGATATTTAAGCATTCTGAAACTTTTTGAATACTTTTATATGCATGAAATGAAATATAAATAAAAATTTGTGAATTATACAATAAATATAAATAATATAATTTTTTTTATAAAACTGCAATTGCTTTTGAATTTGGAGCAAAATTGTTCAAACATACAAACAAACAATGAATATGTACAGTAAAAATTGAAACTAGAAGTTAAGAATTTAACAATAAAAATGAATCAGTCTTGATAAGAAAATTAATTCACTAGACCAGTATTAAAAAGAACAAGATTAAAGTTACATACTTGCACCAGTAGTTCGTTCTAAATGATGACGGATAAGATATTCTTTTCTAGAGCGTGGCACCTCTTTCTTAGTTTCATCAATTTTCTCAACCTGAAAAAAAAAAGAAGTGTGTTGTTTATTCATGAAAATATTAATGTTTCCATTGAAAATCCTTGGGCAAGATATTATGATATAAAATTTGTAATTGTCATTAAAATTGAAATTTATGCTTGCAAGAACAGATTTCATACATTCTTCTCCTCATATTTGCTATACAGACAAGAAATCTATCATGCACATCTCACAGTATAGCTACTTTACTCTAACACTGTTGAACAGAAGACATTAGTATCTTGAATACACTATTAAAGCAACATCACTGTACAACATTGAAGCATATAGAACAGCTGACATTTTTACTCTAGTGACTGCGCAAGCAACATGCAGTTGTGAATATGATAAGAAACAACCAAAATAGTCTGATGTCACATGCAGGATAATTTGCAGGTATAATGTGAAATATCTGAAAATATTATGAAAGCATTGCAATTGTTTAAAATTGTGGCTGTAAAAGTATCTCAACGACAGAATTATAACAGAGCCAAAAATAATTTTATACATGAAAGCAATGTGCAATGCTCATATTAAAAAGATATCATTCCTGATTATACTAACTATTTAAATGTTTAATGAATTAAAGATATTTTCACATTAAACAATTTGTAAGCATTCGCTAATACACTTATTCATGAACTGAACCCCGTTAAAGAATACTAGAAAATTATATAACACTTTACATTTCACAGGGTCTAAAGAACAATGAAATTGATTCATCGGCAAATTGTTTTTTCCGGTAACTTATCGTACATAGGTATTCAATTTTCAAAAAATTGTTCATAACACTGCATTATTTCCATGTTTTTTATGTTTCAACTGCATAATGCATACAAATAACAATGTTCCTGTAAATGTCACCTTACAAAAAACAATGAAAAGACAAAGTACAATGCATAGTAAAATGAAATTCAAGTTGTAAAATATATTTAATCATTGATCTTAACTCATTAAAAGGCATAAGTTACTTAGATTACATTTATTTGTAACAAGTACATAAATAGATTCAGCATAAAATACAAACTGAAGAAAGAACTACCTTTAAATCATTAAAATATAAAAGTTGTTTTAAATGTTGTTTCCAAAGAAATTAGCAAACAGAATAGCACTTTATAAATAAAATTTGCTTACTTTGCCAATCCATAAAATGATATCAAATTTAACATTTACAAATGAAACAAAATAATTAATATAAACAACAAAGGAATAATAATCCAAATCAATATACTTGAGAAAACTCTCAATCCTTAAAAATGTATGTTTCAATATTTGATATTCTGAGTGCCAATTTCCAAATGTTTGTGAATATTGTAAATGATATAACAGAGTCAAAAAGAACCAGAATACATTATTCATCCATTTTAGAGCTGCCTTTTCATAATAATGTCAGCAATTTTAAGATTCAGATGCATGATGTAAAAAGCAAAATATAAGATAATCTTTCATAGCATTAAGTTCTCAAATGATTAATATCATTTTTGATGAATAATTCATAAGTTAATGAAATGTTATTCTTACATTATTTGGAGCTCAGTTTTGAATATCCAGTGAAAACTATTTGATTAGCTATACATTTTCTCATGTGTACATGGCAAGCTCAAAAATCACCTCAAGAATTCATATTCTATAAATTTGTACTTAAAGTCTTTTTGATTTTAACATGTCTCTCAAAAAGAACTTTTAGATTTTACAGTATGTCTGAAACACAAAACATAATTTAAATTTTATAATACCTAAGAATTTGCTAAAACAATTTTCTTGCAATATTATCACATACACACCTTCAAATAAAATTGCATGTCTTTGTTTTGAGAGTCATTTTTGCTATATGCTGCAGCACTCTCTTCATACACACATTTTGCTATTAAATGTACCATCATACCAAACAATTACCTACACTCATACACATGCATACACACATTCACCCTTCAAGAAACTCATCTTGCATCTACCTTTCTCTCTCTCTTCACTGTCAAATACACACACATACATGAACATGAAAGAAAAGGTAAATGAAATGAAAGGAAAGAAAAGAAAAGAAAAGAAAAGAAAAGAAAAGGAAAGAATAGAAAAGGAAAGGAAACAAAGAGAAATGAAAAAATGTAAGCATGAAACTGGAAAACATTTTTCTAATTCAATACTACATATTAAAAAAAAGGAAATTCAATTCACATTAGCATTTTTTATAAGGTAGTATATCAATTTGTTTTGCAAATTTCATCTCAAGAATTGTCTTGAATTCGCACCGTGATGAATACGAACATAATAAATTTCGTATATGACTACAAAGAGGGTCCTTCATACAGAATACTTACCAAAAATTAAATTTTTATTGTCAAGAATATTTTATTTCAAGAGAGTATGAATAGAATATTAAGCTAACTGTCTAAAAACAGTGAACACCATATTTCATTAAAACAAGACAATAATGTACATAGTATTCAAACTAAAGTTGCATTATTGAAAGAAAACATAGCCATTCTTCTTTAATTTTATTTGCATTATTCCCATCATTATTATCTTTGCTCTGTTCTGTTCAACATTCTCATTTTTTTATTTTGCTTTAAACAAATTATAATTTGGGATCCTATTTGATAAATCATGGGATTATGAGGGTGCAAGTTAGACTACCAATAGTAATATGAAAGAACAATACACTTAAGTACAAAAGTACAATTAATGATATATGAATGATAGTAGAAACCTAGAGTTCATTATCAACCATCACAATCACATAAAAAAGTATGGTTTCAAAAATTAAAGCCAAATGGGAAGTTGTATCTTGGGAAGACCCTTTCATTTTTTTCTTCAATTATAAACAAAGGATTTGGATCACCTGAGCCAATCCCTGCTGTAACCTGAAAAATCTATCATGTTATCTTTGTCTTATCACTCCCATGTTGTTGAACAGCATGAGGACTTGGAACATTCTCACAGGTCACAATTGAACCTGGAAGGAGAAGGAGGAAGAAGAAAAAAGAGATGGAGAAGAAGGGTAAGAAACAAAAATAGAAAAGAAGAAGAAAAAACAGAATCTCTTGTGATATTACCTATGATTGCTTCGTTCGTGAAACATCCACCAATAAAGTAGAATAATTCAATCTATCTTTTCCAATCAGAGGTTCCTGTGCAATTTTATTTTTTAACTATTTTGTTTTATTGTTTGGACTAGCCCAAAATTCTCATATCACAAAGTTGTTAGACTTCCATATATATGAATAACTTTCTAGAAATTGAAATAAATTACACTATAATACACAATAATGCAGAGAATGAGAGGTTGGATGGAAGCCATTGGTTCATGACATTTTGTTTGAAACAAACTGTTCCCATACCAATTTGTTGTGCAGATTGTATTCACTAATTTGGTAAATCTTCATAATCTCTTACTGTTTCATTAACTCAAAGAGTTTTAAGATACAGTTTTCTATGTTGCTAACATTGTAGTGATAATTATTGTACAGATAATGAGTGACAAGGAATAAACTAAACCTCAAAACTTGTTCAAATCTTACTAAATCAATTGAGTATCATTCTCTTAAATAAATTATGAATGAAGAACAAATATATTTATGTTATTTATAATTTCTAAGTATATTCCTAATATATGCATTGTGGAATGATTTTAAAATGAGTTCAGAACAACACCTTTTATGAGAATATGGAAAGAATCAAATACATGGAATAAAGAGGAATTTTCTTTAAATCCACTGGTTACAACACATTCCCAATGAAATTTTGAGAATACCATTTGGGCATGGTAAATCCTCATATAATTCCATCATGATTTATCCAAAGTGGGTTTAATATTTTTATGGGGCCCTAAACACGATATACTATGAAACTCCATAAAAATATTGAATTATTGAGTATAATTCATCAAAACTGATATGAAATTAAATTATAATCTTTGCAATTTAAACAATTAATATTAAAATATTTCTACATATTATGAACTGAATTTATCAATAATTTCCCATGCACTCTTCATCTTTCCTTAGCCTATTTTACAGATAGACCATTTAAGTTGGCCCCACAAATATCTTTACAGCAGTTTGAAGTATCGGTTTATTCCAGGTTATTGTAGATCTATTGATTTATTGATTTTATTTACTTAACATCAAAACACTTAAAAACTGTGTGACATTTAATGGGGAGAATTGCAATCTGTATACAGTTTCTTAACCTTCGGATATCTGCTCTAATTCACATATGCCAACATATTAAATTGAATTGTTAATACAAATAGCAGTGAGCATTTTTGGCAAGAATTGGTACAAAGATTTCCACTTCCATGCAATAAACACTATTTGTAAAGGCAAATTAGCAATAGATTTTGACTATTATCCCTTGTAATGTCCTTCATGACAAAAATGACTTCTATTGCTGCAAGAACATAGAGAACGATTGTTTGAATAACTACAATCCCCAGTAGGCTCAAGAAAATGTGCACAGATTATGAAGCTACATTTATGTCCAGAAGCAAAACAAGGGGCCTCTCATCATATACTCTAAGGATCAGGGAAACTGAACGAAAAACCTTTTTGAAATGGGGGATCACTGACTTGGAAGCCGAGATACAATACTTGTTACAGGCTTTTAGAATTAAAGACTTTTATAATTGTAGTACTAAACAGTAGTAATTAACAAATAGTAACTAATACACTAAGTATCATTATTAAAATCAATATTATTTTCCTTTTTGATGCTCATTTTTGTCTGTAATAGTATAGAAACAGTTGTGTGGCAGAAAAAATTTTATTGGCACTTAAACTTGTGTATCAATTTTAATTGTTGGGGTGGAGGGTTATACTTGTTGTGTCCAACTGACTTGATATTTTCTTTTTAAGAATTTTTTAGATATGATGAATTTAAAATTTATTTGTTGATTTATTTATAATGCATTCAATTGAGATACTGAATGACTTTCATTACAATAGAAACTTAGTATGAACTATAGGAGCTATTTGGGAATATGTCTTGGAATGCTGGAGCGGGGGGGGCTGATGCTCCACGAGTCCCTTTGGATGTGCCACGGTGTACTGCATGTTATGAAAACACTGTAAGGTGAGCACAGAATGGCACAAATGTGAGTTTACGAAGAGTGAATATGACAGTGTGATCTTCCAAACAAACTAATCTTTAGAGGGCTTTCACAGAGGACATAAATTGCATTTTGTAAAAGTCACAATTCACCATTATTTACACCAAATTTAATATTTAAATCATAAAAGCAATGAAAGTAAGTCCAAATTGAAGGTCATAAGTAGGGCCTACTCTTAGTATAGTGCATTTTTGGCACCATCTTTAGAAGAGGTCTTTAAAATAAGTTGTTCTACAAACAAGAAACTGCCATCTGGGGCAAAATTGCCATTTTTTGAAAATTATGTTGTTTGTTGACCTGCTAAGTTTCTGATACAACAAATGAAGAAGCCAATGTTTTCATTGTGCAGAGAAGACATTCAAGGGCAGGTTTTACAAGCATTTTCATTCTTATCAGTTGTTTGTGTGTCTTTATCAAGGTTATTGTTTTCAACTTGTTGAACAGGAGTTTTTACTCCCAATCTACACAAGTGTCTTACCTTACTCTTTTATTGAATATTAAAGAAAGAAAATTTAACAGGAGAGACAAGGTGAAAGGAAAAATAAAAGGAAATATGAGACACAAAATAAATTTAAAAAGATTTTGTAGTTCTAAGTTATAAATACATGTTCCTATATTTATGCAATAAATTATTACAACGGTATATTGGCACATTCAGACACCCATGTATACACCCAAAGAGAATGTAACATCCTCATTTCAAACATCCACAATTTGAAAGTGGTGATGAAGATTCTTTTTCAAATAATTTTGTGAAGAATATGAATGAAAATGAAGATAAAAATAAAGATGAATATATTGATGAACAATATCTAATGTCAATAATCAAATGTTACTTACTAGTGATTTAAGAACAAAATAATGCATTGTTTTGAAGTTCGCATTACACATTTATAATACATTAATTTTCAATAATGACTTATAATAACTACTAATAGTAATTAACATATATATATATAAATATATATAAATATATATAAATATATATAAATATATATAAA